CAGCTGTGTGAACCTCGCTTCAAGCTGTGTCCACGAACTCTCTTCCAGCGCGTGCCCGCTCTCTGCCCTCAGCTGTGTGAACCTCGCTTCAAGCTCTGTGAACCTCGCTTCAAGCTCTGTGAACCTCGCTTCAAGCTGTATGAACCTCGCTTCCAGCTCTGTCAGTTCCACTCTTTCTTTCCCTTGGGACTTCATCTCCTTCTTCGTAGCTTCCCCCTTCACGCGCCGGAAAGCGTACAACATGGTTCGCTTTTATTTGATCATATACAAAAACCAAAAAGGGCAAAAAGAAACAGTCAAGAAATTAACCAAGAAAAATACTACGATTAAATCCAGAGATTAATTAACTTCTGATGGGTACCTGAAGATGCTGTTGCCTGAAAGAGACTCCGATGGGTACCTGAAGAAGGTGCTTCTGTCTCCTACACAAGCGACGATGAGGTTTCTTTTCCATAGCCATGGCTGATGGTTGTACAAGATTTCTCTTTTCAAGGAGTCGACAGAATTAAGGAAGCGTATAGCAAGGAGCGAGGCAGAAGGATAGGATCTAGGCAAAGGAATTTATAGAAAAGAATATGAGAAAGGAGGGGTTAAACCCAACTATCGTCCCTCCATTATTGAAAAAAGTTCAATTTAAACCTTATACTATAGATTTGCCTGACGTTCTCCCTCTACTATTCAAAAGAGCTCAATTTCGTCCCTTCATCCATTTTAAGGGTAATGGTATCTTTTTCATTGTTAAAATACATATGGTCAGCGGTTTGCCACCTTTTCTAACTATTATTTTTGTCTATCCTTGCATTATGAGACCCATTTGTTTCACATAATCTCTCTTAACTTTTCTGTGCAGAATCTTGTAGCGAGAATTCTTCCTTTTTACTTTTTTTTTTAACAATTTAACAATCAAAACATATAATACTAAGGGGGATGGGGAAGGGGATCCCCGGGAATCGAACTTTCAACCCCGGTCATGTTCCCACTAATGACCAAATGGCAAACCACTTGCCCTAAGCGTTTGCCACCTTCTTCCTTTTTACTATTTTGCCCAAAGTTGGCAACCTCATACCACATGCATACTGGTTTCGATATTAATATGGTACATATGTATAAAAAAATACTGTGTATTAATTTAAATTTAATATTGTAAATAAAATTTTTATACAAATTAATTATTAATATGTATAATCATATCAACAAGCATTCTAATATCTAAAAAAACCTAAATTTATGAGATTAGTATAGTACAT